GGAAAGTAACTTCTAGGTTCGCTGATTACGAAATGGTACTTTATATCCTGATCGGATACGAATTGGCAGAGCTATGGCCATCGGATGGAGCAAAAGTGGGGAAATCAGGAAAACCAACAATTTTGTAGGGGTACCCCTAGGAAAAAATTCGAAAAATTTAAGAACCACATTTAAGCAATGTTTTGAATGAGGAAAGTTCTGGGTTCGCTGATTACGAAATGGTACCTTATATCCTGATCGGATACGAATTGGCAGAGCTATGGCCATCGGATGGAGCAAAAGTGGGGAAATCAGGAAAACCCACAATTTTGTAGAGGTACCCCTAGGAAAAAATTCGACAAATTTAAAAACCACATTTAAGCAATGTTTTGAATGAGGAAACTAACTTCTAGGTTCGCTGATTACGAAATGGTACTTTATATCCTGATCGGATACGAATTGGCAGAGCTATGACCATCGAATGGAGCAAAAGTGGGGAAATCAAGAAAACCCACAATTTTGTAGGGGTACCCCTAGGAAAAAATTCGAAAAATTTAAAAACCACATTTAAGCAATGTTTTGAATGAGGAAAGTAACTTCTAGGTTCGTTGATTACGAAATGGTACTTTATATCCTGATCGGATACGAATTGGCAGAGCTATGGCCATCGGATTGAGCAAAAGTGGGGAAATCTGGAAAACCCACAATTTTGTAGGGGTTACCCTAGGAAAAAATTCGAAAAATTTAAAAACCACATTTAAGCAATGTTTTTAATGAGGAAAGTAGCTTCTGGGTTCGCTGATTACGAAATGGTACTTTATATCCTGATCGAATACGAATTGGCAGAGCTATGGCCATCGGATTGAGCAAAAGTGGGGAAATCACGAAACCCCACAATTTTGTAGGGGTATCCCTAGGAAAAAATTCGACAAATTTAAAAACCACATTTAAGCAATGTTTTGAATGAGGAAAGTAACTTCTAGGTTCGCTGATTACGAAATGGTACTTTATATCCTGATCGGATACGAATTGGCAGAGCTATGACCATCGAATGGAGCAAAAGTGGGGAAATCAGGAAAACCCACAATTTTGTAGGGGTACCCCTAGGAAAAAATTCGACAAATTTAAAAACCACATTTAAGCAATGTTTTGAATGAGGAAAGTTCTGGGTTCGCTGATTACGAAATGGTACTTTATATCCTGATCGGATACGAATTGGCAGAGCTATGGCCATCGAATGGAGCAAAAGTGGGGAAATCAGGAAAACCCACAATTTTGTAGAGGTACCCCTAGGAAAAAATTCGACAAATTTAAAAACCACATTTAAGCAATGTTTTGAATGAGGAAACTAACTTCTAGGTTCGCTGATTACGAAATGGTACTTTATATCCTGATCGGATACGAATTGGCAGAGCTATGACCATCGGATTGAGCAAAAGTGGGGAAATCAGGAAAACCCACAATTTTGTAGGGGTAACCCTAGGAAAAAATTCGACAAATTTAAAAACCACATTTAAGCAATGTTTTGAATGAGGAAACTAACTTCTAGGTTCGCTGATTACTAAATGGTACTTTATATCCTGATCGGATACGAATTGGCAGACCTATGACCATCGGATGGAGCAAAAGTGGGGAAATCAGGAAAACCCACAATTTTGTAGGGGTAACCCTAGGAAAAAATTCGAAAAATTTAAAAACCACATTTAAGCAATGTTTTTAATGAGGAAAGTAGCTTCTGGGTTCGCTGATTACGAAATGGTACTTTATATCCTGATCGAATACGAATTGGCAGAGCTATGGCCATCGGATGGAGCAAAAGTGGGGAAATCACGAAACCCCACAATTTTGTAGGGGTATCCCTAGGAAAAAATTCGACAAATTTAAAAATCACATTTAAGCAATGTTTTGAATGAGGAAAGTAACTTCTAGGTTCGCTGATTACGAAATGGTACTTTATATCCTGATCGGATACGAATTGGCAGAGCTATGACCATCGAATGGAGCAAAAGTGGGGAAATCAGGAAAACCCACAATTTTGTAGGGGTACCCCTAGGAAAAAATTCGAAAAATTTAAAAACCTTATTTAAGCAATGTTTTGAATGAGGAAAGTAACTTCTAGGTTCGTTGATTACGAAATGGTACTTTATATCCTGATCGGATACGAATTGGCAGAGTTATGGCCATCGGATTGAGCAAAAGTGGGGAAATCAGGAAAACCCACAATTTTGTAGGGGTAACCCTAGGAAAAAATTCGAAAAATTTAAAAACCACATTTAAGCAATGTTTTTAATGAGGAAAGTAGCTTCTGGGTTCGCTGATTACGAAATGGTACTTTTTATCCTGATCGAATACGAATTGGCAGAGCTATGGCCATCGGATTGAGCAAAAGTGGGGAAATCACGAAACCCCACAATTTTGTATAGGTATCCCTAGGAAAAAATTCGACAAATTTAAAAACCACATTTAAGCAATGTTTTGAATGAGGAAAGTAACTTCTAGGTTCGCTGATTACGAAATGGTACTTTATATCCTGATCGGATACGAATTGGCAGAGCTATGACCATCGAATGGAGCAAAAGTGGGGAAATCAGGAAAACCCACAATTTTGTAGGGGTACCCCTAGGAAAAAATTCGAAAAATTTAAAAACCACATTTAAGCAATGTTTTGAATGAGGAAAGTAACTTCTAGGTTCGCTGATTACGAAATGGTACTTTATATCCTGATCGGATACGAATTGGCAGAGCTATGGCCATCGGATGGAGCAAAAGTGGGGAAATCAGGAAAACCCACAATTTTGTAGGGGTAACCCTAGGAAAAAATTCGAAAAATTTAAAAACCACATTTAAGCAATGTTTTTAATGAGGAAAGTAGCTTCTGGGTTCGCTGATTACGAAATGGTACTTTATATCCTGATCGAATACGAATTGGCAGAGCTATGGCCATCGGATTGAGCAAAAGTGGGGAAATCACGAAACCCCACAATTTTGTAGGGGTATCCCTAGGAAAAAATTCGACAAATTTAAAAACCACATTTAAGCAATGTTTTGAATGAGGAAAGTAACTTCTAGGTTCGCTGATTACGAAATGGTACTTTATATCCTGATCGGATACGAATTGGCAGAGCTATGACCATCGAATGGAGCAAAAGTGGGGAAATCCGGAAAACCCACAATTTTGTAGGGGTACCCCTAGGAAAAAATTCGAAAAATTTAAAAACTACATTTATATCTAGAACTACATTTATATAAAGAACCAATTTAAATGGTTCTTTATATCCTGATCGGATACTAATTGGCAGAGCTATGACCATCGGATGGAGCAAAAGTGGGGAAATCCGGAAAACCTACAATTTTGTAGGGGTACCCCTAGGAAAAAATTCGAAAAATTTAAAAACCACATTTAAGCAATGTTTTAAATGAGGAAAGTAACTTCTAGGTTCGCTGATTACGAAATGGTACTTTATATCCTGATCGGATACGAATTGGCAGAGCTATGACCATCGGATGGAGCAAAAGTGGGGAAATCCGGAAAACCTACAATTTTGTAGGGGTAACCCTAGGAAAAAATTCGACAAATTTAAAACCACATTTAAGCAATGTTTTAAATGAGGAAAGTAACTTCTAAGTTCGCTGATTACGAAATGGTACTTTATATCCTGATCGAATACGAATTGGCAGAGCTATGGCCATCGGATGGAGCAAAATTGGGGAAATCACGAAACCCCACAATTTTGTAGGGGTATCCCTAGGAAAAAATTGAACAAATTTAAAAACCACATTTAGGCAATGTTTTGAATGAGGAAAGTATCTTCTAGGTTCGCTGATTACGAAATGGTACTTTATATCCTGATCGGATACGAATTGGCAGAGCTATGACCATCGGAAGGAGCAAAAGTGGGGAAATCAGGAAAACCCACAATTTTGTAGGGGTACCCCTAGGAAAAAATTCGAAAAATTTAAAAACTACATTTAAGCAATGTTTTGAATGAGGAAAGTAGCTTCTGGGTTCGCTGATTACTAAATGGTACTTTATATCCTGATCAAATACGAATTGGCAGAGCTATGGCCATCGGATGGAGCAAAAGTGGGGAAATCAGGAAAACCTACAATTTTGTAGGGGTACCCCTAGGAAAAAATTCGAAAAATTTAAAAACCACATTTAGGCAATGTTTTGAATGAGGAAAGTAACTTCTAGGTTCGCTGATTACGAAATGGTACTTTATATCCTGATCGGATACGAATTGGCAGAGCTATGGCCATCGGATGGAGCAAAAGTGGGGAAATCAGGAAAACCCACAATTTTGTAGGGGTATCCCTAGGAAAAAATTCGACAAATTTAAAAACCACATTTAAGCAATGTTTTGAATGAGGAAAGTAACTTCTAGGTTCGCTGATTACGAAATGGTACTTTATATCCTGATCGGATACGAATTGGCAGAGCTATGACCATCGGATGGAGCAAAAGTGGGGAAATCCGGAAAACCTACAATTTTGTAGGGGTACCCCTAGGAAAAAATTCGAAAAATTTAAAAACTACATTTAAGCAATGTTTTGAATGAGGAAAGTAGCTTCTGGGTTCGCTGATTACTAAATGGTACTTTATATCCTGATCAAATACGAATTGGCAGAGCTATGGCCATCGGATGGAGCAAAAGTGGGGAAATCAGGAAAACCTACCATTTTGTAGGGGTATCCCTAGGAAAAAATTCGAAAAATTTAAAAACCACATTTAGGCAATGTTTTGAATGAGGAAAGTAGCTTCTTGGTTCGCTGATTACTAAATGGTACTTTATATCCTGATTGTATACAAAAGTGGGGAAATACCTTGAATTAGTTTAATGGATACCCCCAAAGAGGGGTATATTGTGGGATTTCCTAATTTCCCCACTTCTGCTCCATTTAAAGGTAGGGAAGGTATTCAATTTGTAAATCCGCCAAGGGTTAGCCGAGCTAAACACGAAGTTTTGTTTCATTTCTGTCGTCTTCATTATTGGCAGAATGGAAAACATATAAAACTTATCCTACTCCCTCTTGTGTTTGGCCACATCCCAATAGAAGTCGTCATCCACATTCGATTCCTGATGGGCGGGCAAGTATTTATAGCAGTAGCAGCGAGGCAAGGACACCGGAATCATAGTTGGGGCCACAAGGTTCTCCTCTCCCACGGAAACCAGTGTGGCGGCGGAACGGAAGCCCAAACCCCTCAGACCACATCGCAAGTAGTGGGTACAGAACAGGGCAGGAAGCAGCAGGCAGGCGAAAAGGAATAGCCCAAACCAGATTCCATTCTAAAAGGGGGGGAGGATAAACTATTAAAAATAGTAAACTACAAAAATATATACTTTTACTATGGGTTTAACAATGCGGTTGCATAGATCCGTATAATCCTTCATGGCCTTCGAATCTCTGCGAGTCAGAGGCTCACATATCGCCTCCGCATCGTGGGTGGCCTCGTCCACCTTGCGAATGTAGTCATCCAGCTTACTCTCCACTACATCGTTGATGTTGCGACTGAACTTATTCATATCCTGGTTAAGATACTCATCGCCCTGCTTGATCTTCGCCAGTATTTGGGTTATATGTTTGGCGAAGCTGCCAAAACCTCCTGCTAACACATTGTCCACACCCTTGAGGGCACGTAGGAGCTTCTCTAGGATCCTGAGCAAGGGTTCAGCCAGGTTATTATGGAAAGCCCTTAGGTGAATGGCCTGATTTTGCAGGACGGGGCCGGCATCTACCCTTCCTGAAAGGCTTTCTAGGTTCCGAATCACCTCCGGCAAAGGTCCTGGCTTGGGTTCGGGCACCAGCTGCCTGCAAATATGCTGGGTAAACATGGTGCTATTGTATCCGGAGAGGTTGCTCTTGAGGAGCTTCTGGGCCTCATCGTCGGCCTTCGGGTGAATGGGCTTAAGGTCTGTCGGGATTGATGCACTCTCTAGATTTTTTAGGTCCTTGTTTATATCGTCCAGCAAGTCACTGCGAAAGCCGTCCAAGTTGTAATGATCCTTCAGACCCAAAGCATTGTAAAGGGTGTCATTGTTAACGCAGTGCCGCAGGACCTTTCGGATATCAGTTTCCGAATGAGACTTAGTTAATCCTTTGGATGATCCTGCCCCTCTGTAATATTTATATTATTAATCTTTAAAGCATTTTTTATAAAATAATTACCCAGAACAGAATGCGTGATACAAAAGAGCCCCATGTACCAGATAGAAAAGCAAAGGTATTATGATCAACCAAAACAGGACAAAGATGGTGAGTGTAGCGAGGCATAAAAGCCAGGTGGCCACTCGGGGACTGGAGAACACGATCAGCAGACTGATGAGGAGGAGCAGCGGCACCACCATCAGAAAGCAAAGAATGATTAGCGTGGTAGCATACCAGGAGGAGCCGAGCTTGCGTCGCAGGGCCTTAAATGGTGGGGATGAGGCGGCCTTCCTTATCGTTGATTTCGAATCCTCTTTCTTATCCTGCAACACTTTTTTGAAAACTTCCAAGGATGCTTTATGCTTTTCTTGGAGATTCTTAGCTGTTGATGTTACAATTGTATCAGGTAATCAGGGTTTAGTATCTCTTAATTAGTACCTCCCTTTTCCAAACCCTCGTGGACTACTTTAAGCAATCTGTTCAGGTGATCCTTAAAGGCACTGGCAATACTTAGCAATTGTTTGGCTGCCTCTTCAGGATATGATGCAAAAGTACTCTTTGATAGCTCCTGAATGCCTTTCAGGAAGTCCTCAGTATCGGGCAACTGGGAAAAAATATGATCCATCGAAATTGAATTAATAAAGTCCTAATCGGATCTCACACTATCATAATGCAGGCAACCCAGGTCCAGTATCCTTATCTCATTCTGACGATAAAAGTCCTGACACTGACTGTTTTTACACCCTGAGATCAGATGCACCATTAGCTCCCGCTTGACACCACGCAATCCTGGAAAGATCCTGGATCAAACAGAAAGGAAAACAAAAATAAGAAACCCACCATCCCTTAACTGAGTGGCCAACCGTCTGCCTTTGGCCAAGTCCCTTTTAAAATCATCCAGAAGTGTTTGAACCTTCGGTAGGTTTTTAAATCCCTGGCCCAGGTTTTGAATGGTTTTCGCCAGGGCCTTCACTTCGCCAAAGGAATGGGGTTTATTCTCCAGGCTATCCTCCACCTTTTTGGGGAGATCCTGGTAATTTCTTACGTAAAGCTTTCGCAACGGTTCAGAGATTGTGTCCATCATGTCACCATCATCATTGACCGTCGTACTTGAGTTACTCGTATGGCAATGGCCTTTTCTGGGCAAGGACTGAAGGTTTTTTTTCAACTGGACAGTGGCAAGGATGGCAAGTATAAGGATCAAACTGTAAACGGGAAGCTAAGAAAGGATAGTAACAAAATCATAACCTCTTACATCATGGCCAGAGCTAGGAGGCCGAGGAGGGAACCCAGGCAATAGCGCTTTCCCGGGCTGGCCACATGTACACTTCTGCATTTAGAACAGCAAAAGGCATAGATTATCCTGGCAGAAGTTGAGGGCAGGTCTGGTTATAACGACTCTCAGAAGTAAAAGTAATCTCTTACCCAAAGATGATGATCCCTATAAACCATAAAATCAGCAACAAACAAAATATATTTAATATCCTTTGCGAGGCCAAGTACTTTCTCCATTTATCGGCCTCCGCCTTGGGTCCAATGTCATTGCCATCGGAGGAGACGTATCCTTGGGGTATTTTCTGTGAATCGCTTACCAGCAGGCCAGTGAATCCATTTGACACTACATAATAGGGACTCAGTGAGTCGACATATCCCTTTTCTGGAGTACTCTTTTGATCCAAATTAGTAATCTTCGAATAATCAGAATCATAGTTGGGTTGACAGTAAATCAAGGACAATGGAATAAGCCCAATCACTCCCCAAATAATAGGACTATTCATTTCCATGTTTTTGATTCTAGACTGATTCTAAAAGTAATGATTGCTTGGCTAGAAATCAATTCAATGTTTGGAGAATGTTCGTACATAAAACCACTTGAAGTTTATTGACAAAAATGTTTGCAAACGACTGAGGCAACCATCAACGTAGCTCGATGATCGACTGGCAACTCGGGGTCTTGTGTATTCGATTTTTCATTTTTAAAGGATCTTATTAGATAATCTTTACTTGCACAGGGCAATATTGATACATGGTTACTTGACTTAAGCGGAAATCATTCAATGTACGTCAATCGTAAAATACAACATACATTCTTAATTGTATAATAATACTAAAATTATGTAATTGTGTAATCCATACAATATATGATCCATTAGTGTCAGTGTAGATTCGTGTATGTTTTTTCTTTCCAAGGGTAATAATCTTTTCTTTTTTTGGAAACTTACAGCTTGCCCTTAGTTCCTAGACATTACAATTGGAAACGTTTAAATGCTTTAGGGTTTTTGGGGGATTTTTCCTTTTGGTTTCACTTACTAAACTATGACAACGTTTTAAAATACGTGTAGCGGTATTTTCTGTATCTGATAGGTAGTATAATATTGAATTTATTCCAGTGTTTGAGTGCTTTACTATTTTTTAGTGTTTGCCTTGCCGTTTTCTAAAATAAATACATTAAATGCATTGAATAACTCTCTCTCTCGTCGACTGTTTTTCTCAGATTTTACTAAATTAAAATGGCAGTTTTGTTTATAGATCGTAGATATTTTGCTTTTCTTTCTCTCAGATTTTGATTTCCTGGAAGTTTACAGATTCCATAGATCGGTTATTATTATTTTTTTGCATGCTAAATACTGTTCTATGTTTTATGTTTTATGTTGTTTAATGTTTGTTGTGTATGTGTTGTTGGTGTTTGGGTGCATAATAAAATTATGAGATTCCTTAAAGCTTCCGCCGCCGTGCGGCCCGGCGAATGGCCAACTTCTTCAAGGGACTCATCAGATCCGACGCCTGCCGCTCGGCTCTTTCAACTTCTCCTTCATCTTCTCCACTCGGACTATCCACTCCGGACTCGTGCTCCTCTCGTCTTTTGGCAACATTTTCAAATTAATTATGAAACAATATTTTTAAGAATGTTTGCTTCGTCTCTAACTTAATTAAATAGCTATCCTCTCGCGCCCTTTTTGGGCCAAAGTGATACCACATAATGTTGCTACAATACTACTTATTTAAATTATATAATTTCAGTTATTTTCCGTTTACGCTTTTAACTAAAAGTACAGTCTCAGTAAGGGGGGCACAGAAGTAGGGTATTGGGGGTCGGGTTACTGCGATGGTTCAAAATAAAATCATTCTCTCCTCCATGTTGCCTCCTCTCTGTTGGCTCCGTCCGCTTAGTCCTGCTCGGAGGCACCCGGATAGTAGTAGGGTGGCGGACGCTCGTACTCCGAGGATGGCGGCGCAGCCGGCGGGTTGTGGTAGCGTGGCGGCTCGTGGTCCCAGTGCCTGTGAATGGTAGAGAAAAATAGGGCATTAGGTCGTGTCCACATGCAAGTCGAATTGAATATTTATAGTGCGACCACTCACGCACAACAGCGAAAAATGCAAACACCGGGAAAAGCATTTAACTTTGTTTAATCGGATTAGTCGGCCATCACAGATTAAGGACCGATGGGGAGTGTTAGTTTCGGGGTTATCGAAACGGGGTTTATGGCTCCAGAAGTGTCTGTTTGTCTGGAGCATCGATTCACAATCAAATCACATAAATAAGCTTTGGGTAGATCAAAATCCGTACACGGTTTCGATACGAACTTCTCGTACAAATATTTGCCAATAAAGTCACAAAACTATAAGGAAACCAAACCACTCGAATCGAGGTTGGTTGGGGGGGAAGCACACGGATTGACGGAATTTACCAAAAAAACGAAAACCAAACCGATTAGCGTACTGGCCATGCCTAAAAGAAACCATCTGCCGCCAAGGCCCTTGGACGAGCGCCAGAGGCCACAATTTTAGCGCTAAATTAAACGAAAATTAAAAATTAGCAGCTCTCTATATGAAGTCTATGAAAAAAGCAGCTAATAGATTTCTGAAAAGTCCGGCATTAACTTATTTTACAAATTTCATTAAGGTTAAGATTATAATAGCTTTTAATTTTTTGAGGATTTCTTCAAAGATTTCTAAAACAACTCTTTCTTAGGAAGACACTTACGTGGGAGCCATGTCGTTGTAGCGCATGCTGCTGCTTCCCGGGGCATCATCCCGTCCACCACCACCACCGCCGCCACGATCTCCGCCAGAGCGGTTCCGCGACACACTGGGCGAGGCGTCCTCGTAGTAGTCCTGCTGCTCTCGTCGGCGCTCGTAGGCCTTGCGCCGCTTCTTGGGGACACTACACCGGGAAGATGAGGGGACGGACATTATGATTAGGTTGAATCCTGACCAGAAACTAACTACAAATAAGTGACATCGCTCTTACTTTGCCAATGGAACGTGTTCACGATCGCGTTCGCTGTAAGCGTCGTACATATAGTCGCTGCTGCGGATGCAGATGCAGATGTGGATGCGGATGCGTGCAGTATTGTTTGTTTTTGGTTTTGTTGGGGTTAGCAGTGAAATGAAAAGAATATGGTTGGAGGTTAAGTTGTGGTGCAACTGGCAACTGCTAGCAAATTTAGTGACATGCAAAAATTTGACAAGATTGCTGACATTCTTGATTCTAAGTTCTGGATGGAGTCGTCAATGAATAAAATCTTGTCTTCGAGCTCTTGCTCCGCTAGAAGGTTGCCCCCCTAGTGTTAGTCCCTCTTGTGCTTGCTGGAGGACTTCTCGACTTCAATCTCTGTGTCCGCCTGGGACGTAACATCGCTCGAGATATCTTCTGTTTTGCTACTTGGGTATTCGTAGTCCTTCATACCGTCATCTTCATCGTCGGTGGCATTAAATGCACCCTCGTCCTCGGGCTGGATGCCGCCACCCCCGCCCCTAGGCCGGCTCGGACAAGCGCATTCACCTTGCTGTCCACCCGAGCACATCATCCGTGGCGGTGGGACATAGGGGGCACCCGTACAAATGGGACAGCTTAGGGTTTAGGTGGGACAAATAATCGCCTAACAATGATGATAATTTTTATCCTAAAAACTCACCCGCCCTCAACCACTCCGACGGCTCCAACGGAAGCTAGATACGGATAGATCTTCTTGTACAAGCACATTAGTTTGTGGGCCACAAACAGGATTGGCAGGAGGAGCAGCGCACACAGCAGGATGCCCACCCAGAAACCATTCTGCAATGGAGATTCTAATTAGACAAGTGGGATGATTAGGACTAAGAGGTACTCACAATAGGGTCCACTAGACGATGGCAGATGTGATCGACTCCACGATAGTAGATGTACGACAGCGGTGCACAGTGTCCCACACTATTCTCGGCATCATTGATTATCATGTCCACGTACTTATCGTAGTCCACGTGAATGGATTCGGTCATGTTGGCGGCGATCGTGTTTATGTACTCCTTGCCGCGAGTCTTGATGAATTGCTCCGAGGCGATGGCGGTCGTGGTCAGGATGTCGATGCTGGTAGCGAAATCTCGGTTGTCGTACAAAATCAGTTCGTCAATCTTTTTCAGGTTGTGTCTCATCTTCTCGACAATGCTGTTCAGCTTGGGCACAAAGTTTCGGTGGAAGGCCTTGGTGTTGAGGCCCTCGTTCCAGAAGGAGACCTTCGCCCAGCCGTACGTCGGATACTCCAGGTCGTTGGAGAGCTTGTACATTTGCTCGGCGAGAGCATTCAGATTCATGGGGGTGAACTGATTGCACAGGTTCGTCAAGTACATGGCGCTGTGGTATTGGGACAAGTTGGTATCCTTTATACTGGTCAGATCTTTTTGTTCTTGCTGAGTCAACAATACGATTTTGGAGAGATCCTCATCGAAGAACCTGTTCGGATCGGCTTCCTCGTCCGGTTCCGTCAAGATTTTCACGCGCGACAAATCACGGATGTCGTAGACCCGATTGTCGCGTAAGACATTGAATATGGTCTGGTTGGCATTACATGCCTTTATTGCACTCGACATCCTCATCGGAGGCCGATCGTCATCATCGCCACCCGAGGGCGAATAGTCATTCAGGTTAATGGCCGAGTCCAGTTGGCGGAACAAGGCGTTATTCTCCTGATCTCGTAATGGCGCACAGGCACCCTGGTACGTCACGAAGCCCACAATAAAGTAGAAAAGTCCAATCAGAGTGAGGAACGAGAAAACGCAGAATATTAACAATATGGCACTGAAAGTAAAGGAATAATAGTGAGTTATATTCATTGAAATAACTCGCACAAACCACTCACAATAGTAAACAAGATGCGCCTGTGGCCTTGCTGCAACAGTCGTCTCCGTATCCAGTTCTCCGGCGTCCAAAACATCCGCAGAGCAGTGCCACCACCAGGATAAACAGAATCTAATGGGGGAGTATTTATGGATAAGTAGGTCTATGACTCAAATAATATAATATGCATACCAGTAGTATAAGTAGGCAGGCAATGAGACTCATTACGGAACGGTCCGGTCCAAAACGCTCGTAGACATCGTCAAAGGACTTGCCGGACCGTACAGACTTCAGGTGGATATCACTTATCATAGCCTCAACCTTGTTTCGTAGATCTGTAGCCGTATCGCGGAAAGTGGTCTTGCCCTTGTTCAAGTCCTGCGCTATGGGCGGGAGAATGTTCGCTATGTGTACCTTTACTTTCTCGTTGATATTCTGCATGCGCGCCAGACCCGCTTGAGGAATAAGACGATAATTCGCATTTACTATCGCCTCCATTCCCGAAACATAAGCCGATGTGTTTGGCATCTGGAATACAGATTAGAGATTAGTTTTAAACATTCTTTACAAACTTATGGGCTAGTAAGGACTTACCTTGTCAAAATGTAAACAATTGGATGTGTCTATGTACTCAATGTTGCTGGTGATCAAGAATTTCTGACAGGCCTGAAGTTGGCAGAGATTGGCCACAGCAAAGTTGATGTCCCGTTTAATGCCTCGAACACCTAAGGGTTTAAGATTGGTGAACAAAGCGGATATATTTCAAAAGTTGAATGGTAACTTACCATCTCGTAACTGAGCGCCATAGAATCGAAGGTCCGTTTCCAGTTTTTCCACTTCTCGCATCAATTCGAGGGCCTCTGGCATGTTGTCCAAGATGCGCTCCAACTCGGCCAACGAGTTGCTCTCGGATGTGTCCGCCAAATCCAAAAAGATGTGCTTGTGGGCCTCTGAAAAGGAAGAGTGGGCATTAGAAACTACACTTCCCACTTTATGGCTATTCTTACGGTTTAGTTGGTCAGTGACATGGGTCTCGAACTCCTCGTAGTTGTAGACCAGCAAGTGGTACATGTGGTCGCCGACGTCCTTCAAAAACGTGCACGTATCCTGGCTGCCGCGTTTAATGGTCTGCGTGGTTTCGGCAAAGCCATTGTCCAGCGTCTTATTAGTAACCATAGCAATGATGATGCCAAAGCTAAAGAATCGAAAGATATTTAAGATCAATCAGAGGAGAGGCTACGCTATACTCACATCAGTCCAATGATGAGGAACAGCAGGCAGATGCCACAGCAGAATCTACGTTGGGCATCCTGCTTGGTCGTGCATGGCGGACAGCCTTGGCGGCACCGGCGACAGCAACAGAAGCAGCAATAACAAATCCTAAAGAAAAGGAGAGCTACCATTAATATCCATAAACTCCAAAGATCCATCATTAGACTTACGCAATGAATGGTATGACGATGATGAGCACCAACAGTAGGAAAACAATGATGAAGACCAGCCAGTAGTGTCGGAGCAAGTCACGCCAGTCGTTCTCCTCCACTTTGGGTCCCAGAGCCAAGGTGTCCCCATTCTTGACCATAATATAGCCTTAAGAATACACCGATTACAATTAATATTCCAAATGCAACTGTTCCTGCTACTCACCATCGGGAATGGGCGTATTGCTGTAGAGGATCTTGTCGTAGAGAAAGTGCGTAAAGTTGTAGATGGAATTCATGGACGACGTGGGCGGTGCAGGCTCTTGGGTATAGTTCGAGGTTGGCGTGTAGGCGCTATACTCCACTGGTGCATAATGAGGTTGGCCCAGTTGTTCGTGGGTGGTTCCATGGCCTGCGTATCCCATGCGCCATGGTCCCGAAACCGTACCATTGGATGTGCTTCCGCCATCGCCGCCTCCAGGGCCTGCACCTCCCCCGTCTCCGCCTCCGGCTCCACCGTCTCCACCTCCCCCACCACCACCGGGAGCATCAGGGCTGGCCTCTGCCGGTCCGGCTCCCGGACTGGCTTCGGGGCTCGCTTCGGGAGCGGCCGGCGGTTCGTCCTGAGCGGCCGCTGGCCGGATCAACGTGGATAGGGCAAACCCAAAGATGACCACACTCAGGCCACAAATGACCAGGTAGGCGATCTGTCTCCTCCGGCGCTGTCGCCGCTTTCTGGTGCGCATCGACTTTGACTTGCCAGGCGCCGAGGTGGCGTCCACATCTGCAGAGTTCATCGCCATTGCTGGATACAATGATGTGTTATCGCAATGTTGTTGGGGTTTGGGTTAAGCTAAAGCAATCTCACTAACACGATAGAGGCAGGCTGGTGCAGCTTTTGATCTTAATTCCTTCGGTGCAGTTGTCCACACCCATTTCACAAGCCAGGCGCCTGAAAAGATACGAAAACCGATTAGCTTATAAGTTCTATTTTTCGCCAGCCATTTGCATTTCGATTCCCAACATGAATAAGACAAAGCCCACACCCTGATGTGGGCAGTGGCATGTCCTGCTCCCATAACATTCTGCTGGGGTTATAAAACATATAAATGGGGGCGCAACCCACTCCCCAAGACTCGTCGATAGCTAGGATTGGTTCACTTGGGGAACACTCTCACAAACACATCCACTTGACATCAATTAAGGTCAATAAAAGCCAAGAAGATGACAATGGCTGGAGAGGCTCAAGCCCCTGCTTCTTGAGTGCCATCCGGTGGCGACACAAAAGGACTGCAAGTGCTCATATTGACGGGCAGGTGTTACCACCTATGCCTGTCCAGGAGGTGCAAGTCTCTGCTATGACTCACTGGGTCATAAACGTTGCGTGAGTGACCCGCAATATACAAAAATATAAAAAAAATTAGCCAGCAAATTGCACAAAATACCAATTGCATATGCAAATAGCTAAAAATAAATGTAATAAAAAAAAGAAAAATAAAATAACAAAAAAATGTACATGCCCCGGGTGAGGCTCGAACTCACGACCTTAAGATTATGAGACTTACGCGCTGCCAACTGCGCCACCGAGGCGATGTGTTCAGCGCCGGCAATAACGCCAGTTGTGGCTAACTAATTCCCAGGAATGTTCTAACGCCAAAACGAGTATAAAGTTCTATAATTAGATTTAAGATGAAAATAATAATAAAAAATAAGAAACAAGTGTATGAGTTGATTGGAAATTATTTAAGAAGCTCTGGCAGTGGATTCTAAGAATATTTTTGATGACAAATCGGAGAACCTCTATATGGATATGCAAATCATTTGTTGGAAAACAAAGGCACTCACAACCACTGGCAACTGTAAAGTTATGGTGGTTTGCTGGAAAAAAAAGCAACAAGCAGCAGTTACACTCTCATCGACTGCCTTTCCACAGTCATAGATAGACAAAGAAATCGAAAAGTTTAATGAACTTTATGCGGCCTGGCCTGGTCTGGGCTGGCCTGGACAAGGGAAAACTCAAGCGGCCAAGGGTCTGTCCTCAGCTGCTCAATGCTGTCGGTTTTATGCTTTATTGCCCTCCTTGCCCTCCTTCTTTGACACTTTACTATTAAATATAGTACAAGAGCACACAGAAAGAAAATATTTCAAATAATTATAAAAAATCAAGAATCAAGAAGGTTTTAACAAGAAAGAACCTCTAGCAAGACCAGAGGAGCTATCTATCTAGTAGTTGAATCTTTTAATACTCTTTATTTTTTCCAGTGCATAGGCAACAGAGGCGACAACGTCAACAGCTACCCCAACACATTACAGACACACACACACACATGTATCAGAATAAACTCGGAGCACTCCACTGCATTCGCCGCCAGCTTATCTCGGAGGTTTCTGTTTTCAGTGCTTACTTTCCGAAAAGCGATGGGTATTACTTCGGATGAGTGTCTGCTAAAATAGATGCCACTGCACCTGCTGACAGGGCTCTTGGCTACAGGGCTCTTATTTGATATTTGGTCAGGCTAGGCCAACAAACACACACCAGCCAAGACAGTGTTTGGTTTCGATTGCGTATACGCCGCGTTGTCTGGCTGGGAGCGAACTAAGCTGGGAAGCTGGAAAAACTCGGGAAGTTTCGCTTGGGAAGAGACGCGCGCTGATGCTGCCACTGCTGCTGGAGATGCTGTGCAGAAAATTCTGTATACCGTTACTGGAGCAGCCAGTGAACGGCCTTGACACAAGCGGCATGCAGGCAGGCAGTCCACGAGGAGGTTGCCAGAGTCTAGGCTTTTCCACACCGCCTGTGTGGCAGAGGCAGTGGCAGAGTGGCATGCAAATGAGCAAATGACCGAATGGGTTTCTCAATTCTAAGCCATGCCTGGCGGTGGAACTTTTTGGTGAAAAGCCGAGCCGAGAAAAACAAAACAATTTGCAGGCTCAGCTTTCGGGGAGGACACTGAGGCAGGACATGCGCAGTGGGAGGCTGCACGGAAGGACTGCGATGCTGCATTTGAACAGTGGGCGGGACAGGCAAGCTCTCGACACAAGGCCACCCAAAGGAGGTCCTAGTTCCGGCGGTTAAGGTTCTAGCCTCTAGCCCAGGGTTAAAGTTATTGGGAAATATTTCAAATGGAAAATATTTCCAAATATTTCGAAAAACTTTCCAGAAACTCAAAAATTTTAAATACCATTCCGATCGCTGTAAACAAATAAAATTAAAAAACAAATCAAGCCAATAATGTACATGCCTCACAATAAAATGTATCTTCTTGTTTATGTTTTTGGTGCGTGTGTCTGTCGGTTTGAGGAAAATAAAGTAATAATAATAATCAGGTAGTAAAATGAACCGAGTTCTGGGAATTCTGAGACTAACAATATGCTCATTTGTCGGAATAAACTTCATTGTTGAGATCCAGCAAGTATCTGCAATGATATCTTACATGCTATAACCTCGAGATACAATATACCCTTTTGTGATGCGAGTACCGGGTAGCGTAATAAAGTTTCCCTTTTCAGACAGAGGCTTTTTCTTTCAAATAATGAATAACATCTATCCAGCTGATTGAAGCCAACTGGTTTTCAAAACCAGAGAAAGTTGGCAAAGTAAAAAGACTTATTTGGCAAAGGTAAGTAACCAGTATTAGGTCGCCAGCACGGAAGAACTACTACTGAACCGGAGAAGTCAAGTGCAGGTATTCCATAAATCAGCAAAAAAATAAATACACACTTAATGAAGCTATCTGAGCGACTGTATAAACAAAAGAATTAAATACAAAGTGAAGGATAAATTAATGAGAAGCAATTTTCACATATAATATTAAAACCAATGTCGGGCAAAAAACGCTGATTGCTAAACAAAAATATATATATTTTTATAGTTCCCATGGAACTGCTAAAAGTGTCAAGTGGGTATTGAAATTAATAGCAGGGGAGTAGTAGCTGGTACTAGCGATAAGGCTAATGAGAGATTTAACCTTAGAGGTTCAAGATAGATTAAGAAAGATCCATTTAGAAGCTATTATTTTTAAAAGAATAAATGACTTGTTTCTTAAGAGAATCTCTTCCAAATCAACTGATATTTGGAATTAAAATTAAGAGCATCATCAGGCTGGCGAATGTGGAACAGCCGGTGGACCATGGACCATAGAGGTGGTGCGAGTGCGAGGCTCCAAAGAGACAGCCAGAGAACAGGTTGCCCTGCCAAGGCAAGAAACTCGTTTCACCGGCGGTGCTGTGACTCACACACTCAACTCTGCCATATAAAGAGACCGCAGAAATGGGCTAATCACACAACCAACCAGATACAAAGTAAACTTCTTTAGATCAAAAACTGAACGAATTCAAACAAAGGAAGTCGGGTAATGGAGCCCCCGAAGAAAGGGGCGGAAATGAAGAAAGAGGCAGAGACGGCCACGGAAGCCATTTACACTCGAGATACAGATACGTGCCAGCACAGAACAGTATTATAAAATAGACCATAAAAATGTATATTTATTCAATGAATCGGCGAGAGGGCTACCTTATCACATATATCATATAACTCCTGATAAACTTGATCTATTTTGGTGGGGATTATGGCATTAGATGAGAGTATTTATTCAACAAATCACTGTCTCTAGAATCTAGAATTACGTATGAGTTTATCAAAAGTAGCTTCCTTGGATAACAAGACTTTAAAAGCAAACCCAGCCACGTCAACTGGTATCTAAATACAATCTTTGTACTCTCACTCTATAATCCCATTTAATGGCCAAATTACAAATCCAGCAAGTCACTCACATTACTCAATATTTAACCAAATAATCACAGCCCATTAACCCATTTAAGAGTGACTAGATTGGTCGCTAATTTTAGCCGATTTGCGGACTATTCGAGTAGAATTCCATTTCCTGCCCAAATCCGTTTGAAGTGTATGCTGTGAAATAGGCCTGCGTATCTATAAATACATAATTTCTCTCGGTTGGGTGTCGTTTCGGAGTTGGAATACACAAACACGCCAAACATACGCACGCACACTGTATCTGTATCTAACGCAGGTCAGGGATGTATCTTGTGGATGCGGGTGCATGTGTATCTTGCGGCTAGCTCCCTCAAGTAATTAGTGGCAGTGCCGCACATTAATTATGCACTTCGTCCAGGTGACGACGAGTGCAGGTGATGGGAGACAGGATGGGCGGATGGGATAAATGGACGCCACCGCAATTCGGGTAACTCGGCAAATTGAAAATAAACGAAATAAATGGGCTGAATCCGAGGCAGGCACAAAAACACATCGCCAACTCACCGACATCGACAACGACTGCCCTCCGCCCGCCTAAGCCAATTAAGCTGGCTCTTGGGCTCTTCGGCTTCGTTTCAGGGAGATGATAACGATGATGATGATGATGATGATGATGCGTTGTCCCAAATCCAATTAAACTGGCCAGTGGCGGAGCGTCTCAAAAAGTATCCAAATATTCGGGAATGTTGCTGCTTCCTGTGTGGATGAACCGATAAGTTCGAGACCGGGACTCAAGTTCACTATTTTGGTGGATAACGTTCCTTCTCTCTTATGGAAATTCCGACGAAAAAATAATGCTGGACCGACCCGAGCGGGTTAAAACAAAAATTTGGATATCTCTACTGGTGTCTGAAGGGTTCAAGAGTGGTGTCTTAAAAGCGCAAAACACGGATGCAACTTTAATTAAAATTATAAACTAGTGTTTATTTATAGTCTTATTTTGTCTCAAAACCCTATCGAATATGTTGGAGTACAAAAGTTGTAAAAGACTGTATAACAGATAAGTCAAAACAAAGTGTTTTCAAAATCAAAACCAGAACTAGGAATCTCAGAAAAGCTATTTCCGGAAAAGTCACTTGTTTATAGTTGAAAGACCATCTTGTAACCCTTCAAAATGGGTCACGAGAATTGGAAAGAAAATAAATTGATTACAAAAACGTATTCAGGTCGCTGTCTCTGCCGCAATGAGATTGTTTTCCCAACGCAGCTTCCAGTGGCCTGCCTGTACGGTCTGGCTGCCCCAATTGGAGTTTAGCCGAGTTCTCCCAAGAGTTTCCCAATCAATTAGGCAAATTCACTTGCATATCCGTTTTGCCATTAAATGGGAAAATCATATGCAGGCACGCGAACTTATGCTGCTTCTACATATGTATATATATATATGTATTTATGTACAAACATATCCATGCTTGTTTGTATGTATCACTGCACCGCCCTTTCGAAACATTCTGGCTCTTTGTTTGCCTTTGCACCGTTACACTTGAATGGCGGTTGTTTTGATTGCTGAGACACTTTTGGGTGCACTTAGTAGACCTCCACGAGTCTAGTTTCAGTCAGTTAATCGACCATTTAATTCACCTGGATTCACCTTTTTCTTGTTTTCACAGGCACTGGCACATTCTCCGATCGAAATTTTCACCCACGACCGTGGAGTTCTGTTTTCGCGTCTAGTGTGACCGTTGGCGGAGCAACTTGAAATACCTAGCGGCTCAAAAAGATACTTAAAGATACTATCTGAATGTTATGGAAAGATACTTTTGTTAATAAAAAGATAAATAGTTGCTATTGCTTTAACTTTACTTATTTTAGTTAGAAATTATCTTAGAATCTAATAATTTTATCAGTATTTGCAGTTTATGGTATTTCAATAAAATACCACCAACTATCGGCAACTCTTAGAGATGGCCGAGAAAAAGTTCGTTACTTTTTAAATTTCAAACCAAAATGATCAAAGTCAGATAATACACCTTGGAACTGGACAATCTTTTGAAAATTCCAAAACTTACCTACAAAATACGTTATCTTTGAGATATCCACAAGTTAAAAGATTAAAAGTGTATTGTACTAGCGATTCATTAAACAGTTTTGTTTATTTTGGTTTCGTTTAAAACACTAAATTACACGTTAAATAATTTACAATCAAAATTTGGGTTCAGTTTTGTTTTTGTTTTTGTTTTTGTTGTATACTGTCTCTAGCTGCCCACCAATAATTGTGGCAGGGGCACGATGCCTCCCATTGACGGTTGCCTCTTCTAGCACTGATGTATGTGTATGTATGTCCTATGTCTGTGTGTATTGGGGGCCTTCTTGGGGCTCGAAAGGATCAGGTTGGGAGACTTTACACTGTTGTAGCAACGTCGAAAAATATAACTTTCATCTATATATTATAGTACAATACATACACATGCACGTGTGCTTCGTCCTATTTTAAATATGTACGTTCAAGCATTGACTTTATCAAAGGCTATGCATAACTTATGTCCTTGCGCCAGGCTTATCATCATAAAAATTAGAAAATAAAAAACTACAGCGAGTTACACATGATCTCGGTGATCTCTCGGAGGCGCTAACATAGCAATTAGCTAAATAAAAAAACATTACAATTTGTGTGTCATACATCCATCCTCCTCATACTGTGCCACATACATATATCTTTCTCTATATATATATACAATACATAATTAATTTTTTGTATATATAGTTTCTGGTTTATCGGTTCTCAGCTTTAGCATCCTATTATCCTCATGTTTCGCTTTTAGATTAGGGTTTTAGATTTTAAATCACTACAATTTTCAAAGTAAAGCTTAGTATTCAGTTTTGGATTTTCTTAATTTTTTTTTAAATAAACACTGGAAACGCGAACTAAGACTGTGGCGTGGAAAATGTGTTTATTGTGCTGGATTATCGCATTATCAGAAGATGACAAGTTTACAATTACTCTGTTGTTCTTTCTCTCTTTTTTTATTTGGCAGTTATTTTGTTATTTTTTTTTTTGCAAAAAACATGCTGTGATGTAATCCCGAAGAAAAACGGAAGCCAGAAAGCGGGGCAAGCATACAATGACCGAATTTGTGACTACTCTTACTTAGGCGATAATAAATTATATACGAATCCTGGCTGAGGTGTTTGTGGTGTGTGGCCTGTGTGGTGGTGGTGGTGGGTGGAGACTAAAAACAAAGATTTAACCACGCAAAAACATAACATTATTATCCTCGGTACGATCTATATGCACCATGTTCTACTAGACTCGGGGGAAGGGGGAAACTAAAGCCAAACTAGTTACAGCATTTGTTACAGTTACAAAATCGGTTACAGTTATACTCCTTTCTATCCTTAACTCTCCTTAAACGTATATGTTCTATATGCTGCAGGTGTGTGTCCGTCAACGTGGATGGGACAACGACCAGGATTGGGATTGGTTTGGTTTACAGCAGGAGCCTTACTACAGCTGCGCCAGCGAGTCGGAGCGGATGAGCGGCGCCAGGGAGCTGGGCGCTTTGTGGCCCGTCTCAATCTCGTACTGGACGTCGAGCGAGGCACCTGCAACGGCATTGGAACGGAACAAAAGAGGTCACAGAATGGCGAATTTATTCATTAATTTTGCACAATACTAATTCAGAACTGGCGCGTCTTGCCCAGGGCCTGGGATGATAATGGTAGGAGTGACAATGATTTAATGGATGGCTCGCCTTGCTTACGTTTCTTCTCCAAGTTGGTCTGCTGGCCCTCCGGAATGAAAGCGGCCACAATTATGGCACAGAAGACGCACAGAGCGCCAAACACGAACGGCGGACCCGGCACATGCTCCGAGAACTTCTCCACGTTCGTCGCCCGGCTGCCGCTGCTCCTGGCGTGCGAATCATGGTCATCGTTCAGATCCACATTGAACAGGTAGAATATAACACCGAATACTGCCGGACCCAGACCGTTGCACAGGCCTCTCATGCCCGTAATCATGCCCTGAACAGCGCCTGTCAAGGATAATAAGTGTAACTAAGTGATATACTAGGATGTACTAAGGTAAAGCTTACCCTGACTCTCGGGGGCTGCATAGAGCGACACAAAGGCGCTGATGGCAGGATAGGTGATCGAGCCCAGGGCTGCCACAACGCCACCCGACCACATCATCCTGGCGGACAACAAACATTATTAATAGTTCAAAGAGAGCCTAATCCGATATACTTACCACTTTTGGCTACCAAAGCCGTACCACAGCAGCTGGACCATTTCCAGGGCTAGGCCCACAATGATCGTGCGCTTGGCTCCGAAAACCCTGAGGGAAAGATATAGCGGATATAGCTTCCATTGAATGGCAAAAGTCTGACCTGATCACTTACTGCATAAATGAGCCGAGGGTAACCTGGACTGTGATGCTGAGAATGCCAACGATGGCTATGAATATGGAGACCTCCACATAATTGAAACCCATTTTCAGCTTCAGGTAGACAAACATGCAGGAGTACTCGCCAGCCTCGGGCAGATAGGAGAGCAGCACGGTGAGGCACAGCATCAAGACGGTCTTGTCGGTTCCCACCTTTCGCAGAGCCTTTGAATATAGAAACCGAGAAATGAGTCATCTTCCAACAGAAATCAGAGGCATTCTTACCGCAAAGGGATCTGCTTGTTCCCAGCTGATGGGCGCTCCCCAAGACGAAGGCCGCATCTTCTCCGACAGACTCTCCGGCACGGCCACCAGGATGAAGAACACATCCAGCAACGCTATGGCCGTGGACAGAGCCACCACAAGCGTATCACCATACCAGTCCATCAGGGCATTTCCCAGGGCGGGCGAAATGACCAGACTGGCGGCAAAGGTGGCCGAGGCCAGACCGTATGCCTTGGAGCGCTCCTCGGGCGTGGTGACATCCGCCACGTAGGCAAACACCACCGAAAAGGTGACGGCGAAGGCGCCGCTTATTGAGATCATGGCAAAGAACCACCACGTATTGATGGACATCAGCGGTATGGGCAGGCAGGTGAAGAATACTGTGACTAATAGGAAAAACTTGCGGCCCCAAATGTCCGACAGGGCGCCGATCAAGGGCGCCGACAGGAACGAGAGGATGCCCTTGATGCCCATCACCAGGCCGTTCATCAGGAATGTGTGATCCGGAAAGGTCTGGTTGAGGGTCTGCCAGGGAAGATATACGATTAGCAAGCAGGTAGATAAGATCTGGATGAAGTCATCGTTAACTCACCGATATTATGGGCATCGTCAGCAGGCCCCAGGCGAAGAACTCTAGGAATATCACAACCAGCGCATGATGAACACTCGGCTCGCCGATTCCGGAACTCTGTGGGGACAAGACAAGAGGATAAATTAATGACTGGACTGGCATTAGTAATAATAGATGGTCGAAGCAATTGTCATAATTGCAGGATGCCCAGCAGAGACGCACCCAGTCGAGTGCGTCATCCGATCCGGTGGATAAGGCGCCGTGTGTTAACCCTTTGAGGCCCCGGTGTGTCCGCGACTGGCTGTCTCTGAGTGTGTCTCTTTTTTTTGTATATTTGTAAACATTTGAGTCCCAGAGTCTCGGTTCAAAATAAATTGTTCTAAATGCGAAATTGTTTGCGCTCGTTAACTGCCCCAATGCCACTTGGAGCGGTGTCAGCGGTGGAGGCTGGTGATTCCACCAACTGATTCGTATTGTTGCGCATCAATAAACAAAAAAAAAAAAGTGAATTCCCTCGAAATTCCTTCTCTATTTGGAGATGAAATCAATTGGGCGGAAACCAAGTTCAAGGATGATACCCCCACATAGCCAGAAAAACCCACCTTGCAGCAGCAGATGTTGCAGGCCACCCGCAACCACTCAAAGAATCGATTCCGTTTGGGCCGCTCCGGCTGCTGCGGATCTGTACTGCCCGCCAGTGACCGCATGGAGATGTACGACGCCGCGGAGTGGGTGCGCCGGTGGGCAGCGCCTCCGACACCTCCGCCGCTGGTCCGGCCGATTGCAGCGCTTCCTCCTCCACACAGAACGGACGAGCTGGCCGCCGTCTCAGCAAACGCTGCACTCGGATGGGCGGCGGCGGCTGCATATCTCGACGACTGTGGAGGATTCACAGAATCGGAAATGGTAGTGGATGAGGGCTGAACTTCGCGTCGATGACAGCCGCTTACCGTGGGCACATCGTCCAGGTCCGGCTGCTGGCTGCTGCTGGAACTGGTGCTGGCACTGGAGCTGGTCGTGTCCGTGCTGGTCAGTTGTTTGTCCTTTAGCGGAGAGTGCCGCTTGACCAGTTGACTGCCGGCGCGCTCCTTGAAGCCGGGCGGCGAGAGTGGCAGGGAGCTGATCGTCTCCACGTCCACATCGGCCACGTCGGCGGTGGTGGGCGTGGAACTGTTGCTGTGGAAGCTCAATGTGTCGGTCTGCTCGCCGGTCTCCTCTCCGAGATTCCTCTGCTCCTGATCCTTGAGCGGCCCTGAAGCGCCTCCCTGTTCCGTATCGCACTCCGCCTCGGAATCCTCGGGCTCCTCCAGATCGAAGCTTCCCTCCAGGGTCTCTGTCTGCCGCTGGGCATAGCTCCTCCCGCTTCGCATGATCACTGGCTGTCTACCTCCTGCTGACCTTCACTTGTTCTACTAGCTGGTTACTGTTTTTTGGGTTTGTTCCTTCCGCTATCACACTAATGTCCATTGCCACGGACTCCACACTATCATTGGAAGATGGGTCACAGCTTCTCGCTTCGGTCTCCTTCGTCTCCTCCTGCTCCGGCTGGTGGTGGGTGCTGCGATCGGAGCCACTTATCTTATCATTGGTGTGGACTACCCGAAATATTTCCGCTACTGCTCTCCGCCGCTGGCACTTTTCTGGCTGTAATTAAAGTTGGCCAACATTTGTTTTCACTCGAAATGCGCGATTTGCTTTCCTTCAGCTGGGGGGACTGGGACCACTCTACAGGGAAACTTCCCTAAAGCGAACTTAACCTAATAGAAATTATGCAAATGAAGGAAAACTAGAACATGGTGTCTTAACAAGGCTGATTAGGAAGATAAGCTTCCCAACATTAGATAAGATATCTAGACCATGTGTTCTAGTTTCTAGTTCTTTATCATTAAATCTCAGAAAATCACTGTAGGCAAGTTCAACTGTACTGTACACTCTTGTTAATAATTTATTATTTGCGCGGCTTTGGGTTTCAATTGGCTGGCTAATTGCGAAACCCGAGACACTATCATCATGAATCAGTATCAGAATGAGAATTCGGCTCAAACGCCGCCAAGTATGCAATGCCCATTAGCACCAGCCTGTTTATTTGGCCCAGAAAAAAGGCCTAAGAGATCGCGCACTTAATCCCATTTCTGTAATGCTTTTAACATCTGAATGCAAATTGAAGCCACAAGCTAACCAAAATAGCACCTCAACAAAGCAAATTAAATCAAAAGGCATATTGAAATATCTAATTCGAGTCTCGAATATCGGGGTTAGCCTGGAAATTATTAACAAGTTATACAACAAGGGACTCGGAATCGGACTGGCAATCGCGTCGTGCAACAAACATACTCGCCGGTGGTTTTAAGGTTCAGGGCTCGCGAATTTCCACTGCCAATTTTAAAAACGCACTCGCGCTATAGGTTCCAGCCGAAAATATTAAAAAAAAAAAACCAAAAATCGAAACTAAAACTTGGCTATAATTTTGACAAACATCTCTATAACTCTATAACCGACTACACCGATCTATATGTCTGCTGCGTTTCAGTGTTCGCGACTCACAAACAGCAAGTGCCGAAAGCCAGAAAGCCTCCAGCGTGGAGCTGTCGGTTCTCCGGCGAACGGAAGCTCGTGTGTGTATCTGAGAGATACATTTTCAGCAAAAGATACTCTCCGCAGAGAGAGAGAGGGAGAGTGTGCAAACTGACGAATTGAAAAGAATTAGACGAAGGTACCCCTCAGCGTTTTCAGATGCGTGCTTTTAATGAAATCCATTTGGAAGCATTTAACATTTTATTCCATTTAGTTAATCGAATAGGAAACTCAGAGATAGAGATACAAAATAAACCATTTTATGCTGTGATCAGCAATTTCCAACACGATCGCCGGCAGTTTATTTACATTGACATCACAGTAAGCCCCACGCATAAACGCCTTTATGGTGTTAATGCTATAAAAATAATAATAATAAAAAAAAAAAACCCCAAAAAGTAATTGTCGCACATATCCAATAGACGAAGCTCCACACACACCGCGATGATGATGAAAGTTTCTCGCGAAAAAAATATCAAATGAGCTCCGGAATGGAAATGCTCATGGAATTTATTTTTATCTTTTGCTCGGCAATTATGCTGCCACTAGTTGTGTTGGCTTAATCCAACAAAAGTCCAACAGATGACGAGGCTAGAGAGATACACAGCTCTGAGACTGAGATTGTTTGGCGAGGGGTCGAGTTTGTTCTTAGAATGCATGACAGAAACAGATTCTTAATTCTACAGTGTCAGCTCTAAAGAATGGTCAACAAATTCAGAAATTGTAACAAGAGTGGGGGATTTTTTATAGAATCTTTAAAAGGGAATACTTCCTAGGAAATATATTAAATTTTATGAGCCTATGTTAATTCTATCAAATAAAAAAAACCATTGTCGCGGTAAAATACTGAGACTAACGTCCGATGATCCTATATTCATTTTGGTGGGGAAAATGGGGAAATTCTGACTAGGCTCGTATCTGATTTATATTTTATATAATACATACATTTACATAAACTAAAATTTATAAAGCCTTATGCCCATTATTCATATCCATCAAATAAAAAAAGCATTTTGACGCCATCAAGGTGACGAATGCAGAAAATATCTAATATTTTTTTTTAATGCAGAAATCATCCAATATATTTTCTATGTAAATGAATCAAAATAGTATCTGATTTATATATTCTATTCTAAATATCTAATATTTTGGCATGGATTAAGGCTTGGATCTGATATGTATATTGTTATTCTTATTCTTATCTATATATTTTAATTATAAGAACCCTATTGCCAATATTCTCAAATCTATCATGTAAAAAAAAAACAACCACATGACTCGGTGACGAGAGTAGAAAATGTCAGATATATTTGGCATGAAACAAATGGCATTCCTATAATATTCATTCCCTCATGCCTCATTATTAGTTATAATAACTAGGAATTACTAATAATAATTTATCAGTGATAATTAGTACGTTTTTATTTAAAGAGTACTTTTACTTAAGTTACTTTTTTTTAGGTAAGACTTTTTCTTACTTTTCATAAACATAAAAGTTCATAATTTTTGGCGGCATAAACCTGAAACTGCTGACTGTCGCTGTGCGTGGAATTAGTCGGATGAGAACACATTTAAAGTGACCCGATGTGTGGCTGGCCAGTGGCCACCGTGCATAAATCATGACGACCTGCCTGGCTGCCTCGCTGCCCTCCTCCCTTGCTGACACTGCCGTCCCGTCCAGTCCCGTGGGCTGTCCGTGTGAAACAGCAATCGGGTCAAGTGCAGGCCCGAGAAGGTAGTGCCAGAAAATGAAATTTCCGTGGAATCAGGCTGGATGGACACAGGATGGACGTGGCATAGAATCCTGTTGCTGGGAATCCCAACAGGAAAGACTGGCCATCAAGTTGAGAGGCAGATGGATTGAGTGCAGTTAGCTGAGAGGGCGGGGGGATTCAACATGGGGCATGCCACATGAAAAAAACAAACCCCACCAACTGGCTGCATGTGTCGCATCAAAAGGCATTAGGAACGACCTTGACAGAAGCGGGCAAAGACAAACGGAAAACTGGAAACCGTCGGAAGGCGACAGGAAAACGGCCGGACGGACAGGCATCCGTTTGGGGCGATTGGAGGAGGGGTGTGTGGGTGGTATGGCAAACAAAAAAAAATGACAGCAAGTCCATGATGGCGTAACGGTTTTGGCAAAAGAGACGGAAACTGGAAAATACATTTCCATGTTTTTCCTTCATTAATGAGGAAAACAAAGCATAGGTTGGGCCAAATTGAAAAAAAAAAAGCCGGCTAAAATGGAAAGTGAGCTAACGTGCCACAAATGAATGTGTTTGCAACAATTTTTCTAATTAATCTTGAGGGGAAAAAAACAGGACACGCAAAATTAAAAAAAAATGGGGGGTAAGCATCAAGGTTATTCTCTAATCAAATATTCTAAAAATTCGTGATGAAAACTTTACTGGGTTTCACCTTTAAAATACTCTCAATTTTAAGCTTGGAACTATGTATACCACGCATGTGGCGCCTTGATTTGAAATTGGATTTCGCAAAAAGACCATTACGACCGCCAGACAATGGCCAATAAGAGGCAACTCCATTGTTGTGGCTTATTGAAAAGTAGGCCAAAGCCCAAGGCAACGAGGACGAAGCCAGTGCCATTGGCATTGGGATATAGAAGCCGAGAAGTTTGGGCCAAAAGACTCATGACTTTTCTTTGAGTAGGTGGTAGATGGTGGGTGGTCGGTGGTGGTTGGTTAACAAAGACTCCCTAAGACTGTCGTAATTTTAATTAAAAATATTCTTGAACAGGTGACGGCTCGCAAATCAATCAGCCAACCTTCCGGACCCTTGCCTTCCTATTTCTTGGCAAGCTAATTAATTATTAAAAGCCAGAAGCTTAAAACAAGCTTGGAACAGGTTTAAAACCTTCAAGCCATTGAAGAACTTCCTGAAAAATATCCTATTTCATATATCCTCAAAACCTATTTCCTCAAAAGTATGCAATAAAAATAGCAGCCAAGAGAAGAGAAACCGAAAGCATGTTTTTTTTTTCATTTCCTGCTAAGCGTGTGTGACGCCAAATGTCAGGCGATATGAAAAATGGACCCGCTTCTGTCGACTGGTGGCTAATGGAGAGGCATTCCCTCGCCCAAGATGACATCCAGAACCAAGGTCATATGAGTGCAAGAGCAAAGGCAAAAAAAGAAAAGCCCATAGTCGAGGCAGATGCTGTTGAAATTCAATTCAAAGCCTGCAGCGCGTGCAACGTGGCGTATACGTATTTTTCCCCCTATACGTATACGTAATGTGCTCGTTCACATTAGCCTGTATGCCAGAGAACACACACACATAAAGCCACTGGCAGTGGTAGTGGCACTGAAAAGCTGCCTGCCGCCTTTCAATATTAAAAATAGTTTGTCAACAACGTGGCTAGAAAGTGTCAAGCTGCGACGGCTGCAGCGTCCAAATTGGTTTCGGCCACAGCCGGGGAGGCTCTGAGGGACATTTCTCTTCGTCTCAGATCTGGAGCATGGATGAAGCCCGCTCATTAATCAATAGTATTGATTTTTTAAAAACTAGATTATGCGAATAATTACTAAAATGCTTGAGGTCTTTAAAGAAAATTATTTTATGGCAGTAAAGGGTTTAGGCCAGAAAGTATGGAGTCTGAAAATATGACACCTTGCGATGGTCATATCTTGGCCAATATTTGTACGATTTTTACGCGGAATATTTTTAACAATTACTATAAAAATTCTCCCTCAATCTGTATCTAAATCTAAAAAAATAATTTTTTGACAGATTTTAGGATAAGTTTTCCGGTGAACCCTCTTTGCAAAATTGGAAAGAGCTTAGAGGGTCGAAGAGCCACCTAAAATAAAAGCCATATCTCTACCAATATTCATTCGATTCTTCGATACCAATTCTTCATTCGAAGACACTCCGATCTTAAAAGATTCGTGGATGTATTCTCCATTAATATGCATCAAAATCCTGAATACAATTTTTTTGTCGATTTTCTGTACATTTTTCTGGGGGTGTCTCATCGTAAAATGCGTTAAGTACGTTACCTCTGAGGCCATACCTTACCCAAAATTCAAGCGATTCTTAAGCGAAGTATCTTGTAAGATTTGTAGATCTATCCTCCACCCTTCTAAAGGTT